GTTTAGTGTTCACAGTCTTTCCAGCACCAGATTCTCCACTGGTTTACACGAGATGATAAACAGATTAGTATTGCTCAAAAACAAAGCTGCTACTCATGCAATTACTTGTAAATTTTCATAGATACTTACGTAATCAGGACAGACTGGTTTTCCCTGTCTGTTAGATAAAAATATAGTAATGTGTCACATTCCTTATATGTTTAATTTGTTTTCTTTTCAGAGCTATCTTTATCAGAACTCTTTGTATGTTATACCTTACCAGTAAGCATGAACTGATAGGCATTGTCAGAGACAGAGAAAATGTGGGGTGGGGCCTCCATGCGCTTTTTGCCTCTGTAGGCAGCCACCACTTCTGCATCATACACTGGGAGCCACTTGTAGGGGTTCACGGTAGCGCAGAACAATCCAGAGTAGGTCTGAAGCAGATTGGAATACACGTTGTTAAGTTGTAAAATTACAGTTATAAAAAAACTGTCATCACAGGATTTCTTCACCTTGAAGCACTGCCATGTAAAAAATCAGCTGTTTTGGAACCAGCCTGTAGTCATGCTGTTCGTTATAACTTACGTAGATCATCCATGCTGCATAACGCTCTTTGAGGTTATATAGCACAGAGGCTTCATTGAGATGGGTCATCATGGCCATGTCTTCAATCTTGTCAAACTTTGGAGGATTCATGGGGCTGACATCATCCTCCTTAACTGTTCTCTCCTATTAGAGAATGACATAGTATATGTTTAGTTTAGATAGAAATTAGGAGCATTAACATCGGAATAAGTTACATTCCGGTATTAATTCTCACCTCCTTGGTGTTGAGCACTTCAACAGTGACTTTGCCACCATCTCGGCTCTTGATTGTAGCCTTAAGGTAAAGCTCTTTTTGATCAGCTACAAAGCAAGCAGTCTTTGCATCAAAAGGCCTGCTTTGAGCCTCAATTCTCTCCTTCTCAGGCTTACGGAGGTAGATGGCAGCTTTGCCATAAATGGCCATCTCAGCGTCCGTACTCATGGTGGCAGCTTACTGAACAGAAGAGGATTCAAAAATTACACATAACCTGACAAGTTCATTACATTCTGAAATGTACATTCCTGTCATGAACCTTTAATTTAAGTCCATATGTATGTCAAAAATAAATGATGGACAGCAAAATGCCTCAGATCTTTTTTGTTCTTGATGTCATATGAATTTTACATGCATTGCACTTTAAATACTTCAAAACTATATTAACTTAGTGTTAAACTACAATTACTCCTTATTCTAGACTTGAGTCTCAAAGTATTCCTATAATTACTTCATCATGTAGTCGTCAGTCTCCTCAGTATTACAAACATTGCATTACATATCTACACTGACAGAAAAAAGGTCCAGTTTTTTCAAGTACAAACAATGTAAATGTACCCTCAGCAGTCTCACAATCAAATTGTGTACATTAAATAAATTTTAAAGGTACACCTTTGTTCACTTTCCCTAAGAAAATGCCAATTTTTTGCTGTTTGGTTACATTTAGAAAAGAAAAGAAAACATAAAGCGAAGAGTCAAAACAGGGTACAGACTAAAACGGAACACGGAACAATATGTTCCCTGAATAAAGGTACTGAAGGTGTACCCTTTACCCTTCATAAAATCTAATATAGTGCCTGTCTTATTCCTAAAAGTAAATAATGGAAACACTAAGAGACATTTCACTCATGAATATAGTCTAATTAATATTAATAAAAGAAACCAAATATATCTTACATTTGTTTCCTGCCTGAGACCAGATGAAATTTCCACAGCCCTTGAAACGAAAGAATTTCATACAGTAACTCTAATTTCAAATTTATCATCCAAATAAATAAGCCCCAAAAGATTTCAGTGACAGGCAGTACAGACACTTACCACAGACTGGAACTTCTCAGGTCTCCTCTGCAGCCCTTGCAGCTGCCCTCACCCTTATATTGTGGACAATGTGCTCACTAAGCAAAATCCATTAAAGGCAAGCTCAGACTTCATGATTTATTTTAAATCTCAGCCATCCACAGTCACAAACAGAAGCAACAGCAGCATTATTGGATGGCAAGTGAATACTTTCCTAGTTAAATTAACATGTGTATTTAATATTCTGTTTAGTGTGATCTGTATGTAAGTAATTAAAATCTGTGTGTTTGGTATATGTACAGAAAATAACTGTTTTTGTTATTGCTTTAACTTCTTTGAGTATTATTAATAATGTTGATGTATTTTTAAGGCATTATTAATTCAATTAACACAATTATTAATGCTATTCATTACTGCAAAGTTAAACACATTTTGTTGCCACTAACATGGTGCTAAATGTTGATAAATATAATGTTAACTACTTAAAATCATTTAAAACCTATTAATAACTCTCATGTCTCCTACTTGCTTCCATAGAAGCCTGTGGTTCTTTTTTTGGATGCAGATGCATGTAGAGTTTCATGGCTACATTCCAAAGTCAAGAGAAGTGACAGATTCATTGCTAGGCATGTGGGCATTTTACTTGCAGAGGTTGCATCTTAGTAGCATAGTAGAATAGTAGCATTTAATTTCTAATTATGACTGATTTTACTGTTGAGCACTCAAGCATTTTATTTTATTTTATTAAAGATATTTTTATACTTTTTTTTCTAAAAAAAATCTTCAGAGACTTGCCAGTGGGGATTTACTGGACCATTTTGTATGGTGAGTGCGCCACTTTAATATACTTAATTACATCAGCCAGTTATTTTATCACAGGGAAAGTGTACCAGTGTAAGGCATATTGGAATCAAGCTGAACCTGGTAACCGCACCATTGTAGCTGAAGTGTGTTTATTCTTGCCTTGTTTTGGACAACGGATTGATGAACATCATTGGTAATTAAAAACATTGCCTGTGTCTCACTGTATTTCTAGCCTTTGTTTTCCTTCTTTTCTCTGTTTATGCCCCAGAATCTACTTGTCATAGCTCTCCCGTCCTTTTTTAAACACTTTCATTGATGATTTTCTATATACTCATTATTATTTTTTTAAACAAAGTTGTTTGCAATTCATATTAGTACAAAGTACAAATTCTTAATTCTAACCAAGAAAGTTCATTCCTAACAACACTAATGAAATGTTGAGAAATTATGAATAATCTGATTTTGTGGTTATTATCATAATAAAGTAGATTATAGATTGTAAATAAAAACAATGTCTTGTTACTAATGTGATCTAAATGACAATTTTATTAAAACAAAAAGTGTTTTTGGAGTATGAAATTAAGAATATCCAGTTGTAAGAAATGAGGACAAGAGGCAGGATTCATGATCTGGACCTGGCTTCAAAACATGAAACCAGGGAAGGCTTAAAACAAAGATCATGGGAGGCAGGCAGGAAGACTGGAGGTGGGGCCGGCTCAGGGCCTCAGTTAGAGGCTAAAGGAACCAGGTCAGAAGCAGGAGCTTTGACGGAATCAGAAGCTGCAACCACACTAACCTCCAGATTTAGCTTGCTAACCTAAAATGAAATTATGTAGTTTAACTAAATCAATATCAATCAAAACTATACCTAATATGTAAAATATGTAATGTAACAACATTTCTTTGTGCACATATAGAATCAGAAGAATCACCAAAACAACTCTAGTAATTACTTGATTGGAACAAAATGATAAAGATAACTAAGAAAAAAACACCAACAGAGACAAGACTCTACAAATCACAAAACCAAAACAGATACACAAACTAAACTGAAGAGACTCTTTTGAAAACAATAAGCTAAAAGGAGCTAGGCTGAGATGAACATAATGGAATGGGAAGGACAATGCAAGAGAGTTCTTCAACTCCCAATGGCAAAGATTGTTTACTGTTTACAAATTTCTTAAATGTCATCAATGACATCATTGTCAAGTTCTTGACATAATGACTAATAGGAATCAAAGACAGTTATTGATGTAATAGCCATCTGTGAGAGCGGCTGCCTCCTTCACAGTTGTATCTGCAAAGAAATCCTTTCACAAAGCTACTCACAAAAACAAACTCCTCTGTCCCATAAGCAATATGTGAGGGAATACCCTCTGGTCATTGAAAACCTGTATTCATAAATTATTTTACCTGCTAGCCTGCCTGCTAATTTCAATTTTCCAAGGTTTAAATTGTATTTCAACTGTTTTGTGTGGATGAATTTCTGATGTTCATTAAATCAAACCATTACTGATCTCTTTTAGCTTCAGCAAAAAGAGAAGACAAAGAGAGGAAATGTAAGGAGGAAAGGGAGAGAGGAAAAATGGTCTTAGAACTGAAAAGTTTATGTAGAAGATTAGAATACTAGCAGGAGGATTTTTTTCAGAAACTGAATATGAAATGTCATTAAGTCTGTCATTAATAAAATCAAGAGGAAAAAAGAGTACCTCTCATGGTAAAAAAAATGTGGGAGACCATTGGAGTAAGGTTACTCAAGCATTACAGATATATTTGTGATTTATGTTGGTTGCAAACAATATGTAGAAATTTGAAAAAAATAATATGATACATTTGTAATCTTCAAGAGGTTTACGATTACAGTAATTATTTACATTTCAGGAAATATCTACTCTCTTTTCACATGAATGGCTGTAATGGCCATGAATGTTTGCATAGGACAGTCCTAACAACTTGAACAGCAGTTAGAGTGATCACCACAAGCTGTACACAAAGGCATTTTAGCCACAGAGTATATGTAGTTGCCTCATAAAATGTCAGGGCTCAACCCATCAAAGACTTAGGCACAAGTGATTGACGTTGCTATAAACAGTTTTATTTCACAGCAATTGCAAAGGTTGTGCTATTACATAGTCATACTCTATAACCACAGCAGAATCCAGCAGGTTTATTCTTCTTTGGCCTGAGGAAGAGAGAAAACATTTGTTAACTCTGATGTTTTGGTCCATACAAAGAACACAAGCAACATATATTTGATTTTTTGTGGACTTTAAGAGGATGTGATGGAGAGTTAAATATTTCCATGTGCCATAATGAATAAAATACTTTCTCCACCGACCTTTCCAGCATCACGGCTCTTGGCTCTGTGCTTGTTGACCTGAGACTCAGCAATGTCAGCGTGCTCCTCAGGCCATGCTGCACCTTCCTGAGCTTGGACAGGTGGACATTGGCTTGTTCCTCCTAAATGTGCAATTATAGAATGTTTGCAATGTTATTATGATATTTTTTGATGTGATGCTCTAAATGATTTACCTGTTGTAACATGCTTGACCCACCGCTTCCTCGATCACTCACACGATGCTATCAACGCTAGGAGGGTGAAGGCTAACATAGGCTTCCTCCGAGACCTGTGAAGCCAACCACCGCTTCTTTTCGAACTGCCGCTCACGCAACGTCACTGGACAGCCGAACGCGCTCGGAGGAAAGCGCCAACCGCCAGATCTGTTACGTCAGCTAACAGACGCCTGCGCTGACTAGCATCGCGCGGAGTGATGGGGGGGAGAAGGAGGAGCCATCCTACCCACCCAGAGAGAGCGAGGCCAATTGTGCTCTCTCGGACTCCCGGCTACGGATGGCTGTAGCATCACCAGGGATCGAACTCGCGATCTCCTGATGATAGGGCCAAAGCTTAGACGGTTGCGCGACTCGGGAGCCTGTCTCTTGTAAGCTTTGATCTCAGCTGCAGCTTGTCAACCTCACATATATTATTTTATTTAGTTTATATTTTGGTGTGAACATTACCATCATGTTTTGACATGGATGGAATTTATACATACTTGGTAGGTGAGTTCTTTCACTCAACTTCAGCCTTCAGCTCATGCACCTGGAAGAGTTCACACATGAAAAAATCTTTAAAGTGTCTATAGTGATACTAACATCAGTGGCAATAATTCCAGTGGAAATTACCCCCTCTTTGAATTTCAGATACTGTGTTCAGTGTCCAGTAAACATTAGCTTTTGAGTATGACTTACCCTTATGGGTTCCATATTGTCTGCTCAGGTAGAGACTATCCCACCATACATTAAAGAAAAAGAACTTTCAAAAAAAGTAAAATAAAAAAAACTAACATAACGACATTTCTTTGTGCACACAGGGAATCAGAAGAATCACCAAAACAACTCTAGTAATTACTTGATTGGGACAAAATGATAAAACAAAGATAACTTTAAGATAAGAAAAAGAGACAAGACTCTACAAATCACAAAACCAAAACAGAAACACAAACGAAACTGAAGAGACTCTTTGGAAAACAATAAGCTAAAAGGAGCTAGGCTGAGATGAACATAATGGAATGGAAAGGACAATGCAAGAGAATTCTTCAACTCCCAATGGCAAAGATTGTTCACTGTCCACAAATTTCTTAAATGTCATCAATGACATCATTGTCAAGTTCTTGACATACTGACTAATAGGAATCAAAGACAGCTTAGATTTATTGATGTAATAGCCGTCTGTGAGAGAAAAAGAAAAAGAGAAGACAAAGAGAGGAAATGTAAGGAGGAAAGGGAGAGAGGAAAAATGGTCTTAGAACTGAAAAGTTTATGTAGAAGATTAGAATACTAGCAGGAGGATTTTTTTCAGAAACTGAACATGAAATGTCATTTAGTCTGTCATTAATAAAATCAAGAGGAAAAAAGAGTACCTCTCATGGTAAAAAAATTGTGGGAGACCATTGGAGTAAGGTAAAGCCAAGCTGCTAACAGCCAAACTTTCAGGTCTGGACTGTAACAGATAAATGGCTTTTTGATATTATTATTATGATGTTATTTTGATATAAGTTATTGGTTGAATCAGTCAAGAGTTACAGATATATTTGTGATTTATGTTGGTTGCAAACAATATGTTGAAATTCAAAAAAAATAATATGATGCATTTTGTAACCATTGCCCATGGTTACATAGGCTCCATTGAGTTCCACTGAGTATTTCTTAGTACTTAGGACTCTCGCCACAGAGGGCAATCTTGAGACATGACTCAATGGTATTTTTAAGTGAAGAAGCATTGTGAGAGTAGCCGCGTGTTACAAAGAGTGGGGTTTGCTACTGCTGCTGCTGTTTGTTTGTTTTGTTTTATGTGTAGTCCTTATATTGGGAAACCAAATGTTTTATGCTCAATTTTCAGGACTTTATTTTACTACCTTTTTGAGCTGTTATGGGATGGATCATGGATAATGGAATGGAGGGTCGCTGACCGAACGCTCCATCTCCTTCGATGTTGGACTTCTACATGGGCCTAAAGGACTAAGATCATCTAACCACTTTGCACCAACTTCAATTTATTATCTGAAGCTGTAGCCTGGAAAACAACACCTTTTGGACTCAAGCTGCTCACTTGGTGAGATCAGTCCTTTCTTCAGGCAGAGACTTAAACTCTGATTCAGACAAAAAGACAGTTCTTACTCAAAAGACTACACGAATATAACACTGGATGATACCTGTTTGTGTGTTTTGTAAATATTATGGGTGTAAATACATAGTTTGTGCATGCAGTACAAGGCTGTGGTTCCATTTTGTGCAAAGTTACAAGCTGCTGGATTAGAGTCCCCTTCAGATAAAGTAATTAGACCCTTTTTCAAAGAGTTTTGTTACAGAGTGGAGCCTGAACAGGGACCTAGCCAACGCTTTGTGTGTATTTACACCCAATTATAATTAGAATATACAGCTTGGTTGTCATATTGGTAATTTGGGATTTATTTTTATACAGTTATGGCAGAGTATATACAAGGTACAATGGGTGATCCTGAACCAGATCTAGATTTTACTGCAGGACCATTTTACTGCAGGACCACACGCAGAGAACCCACAGAACACCTTAGTGAACTAATGCAGACTTTCAGTCAAATGTATTTAGACGAACAGTAGACGAAGAGGCAGAAGAAGATGATGTAGGGCTAGTAGAAGGTATAGAAGAGGAAGAAAACTTACCCCCAGTAAACAAGTCAGCCACTGATATGCCTGATAGAATACAAGCATTAGAAGCTAATGTAACAACTTTAGAAACCAAACTAACTCAAGTGGAGGTTAAAGTAAATGAATGGTGTTCAGAAATAGGAGGTCGGGTCAAAGCAGCCCAGGATCAATGGCAGTATCTCCTGGAAAGGGAATGTAATAAAGTAAAGAGCTTGCCAGAGTTAAATATAAAAGATCTGGGACAGGAAATGGTCGACCATTTGAAGCGTAGAGATAGACAGATTGAGTCCAAGCTTCAAGTCCATGCCACTGCTACTTCTACACCAAAAGCAGGAAACTGGCCACAGCAGGTTAGCCATTGTGAGAATGTGTCTGTACTCCCAAGTAAACCACCTATTCGCATAGACTTTCCACGTTTCAGCGGACAAGGAGAAGAGCAAGATCCAGTATCCTACATCGAAAAATGTAAGGAATTCTTAGCTGTACGTCCATTGTCTGATTCTGAAATTCTTGCAACTCTAACATCATTATTAACTGGAACTGCAAAGGATTGGTGGTTGGCCGGAAAGAAAGCTGTAAAAACCTGGGCACAATTCAAAACATCTGTTTTGCGCTCTTTTCTTTCAGAAGACTACAAAGCTGAAGCAGAAAGAAGGATTTTAGAAAGAAAGCAAGGAATACATGAAAGCATTCAGGACTTTGCCGACCAATACAAAGCGTTATGTATTCGCTGGAAGAAAGGAATGACGGAAAGGGAAATACTACAAGGTATGCTTAGGAACTGTAATCCTAGGTTGGCCAGATTACTAAGAGGAAATGTTAAAAATGATAGAGACTCTGATAGAGTGAGACCTTAGCCAAGCTAAAATGTACTGGTCACAAGCCAATGCTGAGGATAATTGCAAGAAGAAACAGGGCCCAGTAAAGGCACCCAACCAATATGCTACAGTAAAACCTCAGCAGAAAAATATCTGGCCTACCTTCATTTCCCTACCTCTTCTGATAAAATCCCATTATACTCAGGCAATTGTAGACACGGGTAGTACACATTCTCTGAATCAAGAATCATGGTGGAAAAAGCTAAAAGATCCATCAGAAGTTTGGAAACCTTGCGAAGGACAAACCTTCAAACTAGCCAATGGACAAACTCAGAGAGCTTTGGGTACCACTGAATGGGAATGCAGGCTGAAGGGGCAAACCTAACAACTGCCATTATATATTTTATCTGATGCTGATCTTGCTTTCCCTCCTTTTGGGCTTAGATTTTTAAATAAATACAGGGATGACCATTGATTTTAGTACCACTACCTGCAGTCTGCTTTCTGAAGACAGAAAAAGGCAAGCGTTCATGTTCTGTTCGATCACTCAGAAACACACACAGAGTTCAGGTTTATACTTGTGTATTGCTCAACCAATCCCTGCTGTATCACAAGAGACTCTAGGGCATATCCAGAGGCTGACATACTCAGCAGAGGTGTGTGACATGCTCAGACCCCAGTTGGAAGGTTTATTATATGATTGGCCAACTGTATGTACTGATGCCATTGGGCATACTGATGTCATCAAACATCATATTGTCACAACCGATGTGCTTCCTGTGAGAAAGAAGGCAAAACGAGTACCAGTGGTCAGGCAACAGATCATTGACCAGACTGTGGAGGAAATGTTGGAAAAAGGAATTATTCAGCCTTCTACATTCTTCATTACATGGTGCCACCATCTTCAGTACCCTCGACTTGCGAAGTGGATATTGGCAAGTAAGTGTTGATTCTCAGAGCATTTGTAAGACTGCATTCATCACAAGCAATGGGTTATATGAATTTTTGCGGTTGCATTTTGGATTAAAGAATTCTGCGGCTACATTCCAGCGGCTGATGGAAGTGCTACTTCGAGAGGTAAAGGGAAGAAACTGTTTTGTGTATATTGATGATGTCGTATTATATTCACCCACTGAAGAACAGCATCTGAAAGATCTCGCTGAAGTGTTCGCTTGCCTAGAAAAAGCTGGTTTAACTTTGAACCCACAGAAGTGTAACATCATGCAGAGAACTTTGACCTTCCTGGGTCATTTCCAGTGATGGGATTGCAACAGATCCAGACAAAGTAGGAGCAGTCTGTGAATTTCCAGTTCCAAAAAACATAAAAGAAGTTCAAAGATTTCTTGGCTTTGCTGGATGGTACCACTGATACATACCCCATCTATCCTTGATAACAGCTCC